ATTCATGTTTCAAGAATAGCGGAATTCAAATTTAAAAATATTTACATCAGTTAATCAATTGTTTCCAAGTTTTACAACTATAGATAGAGGTTTAATTAAATTATCAGTCATTTATACTTGGCAATCAATCTATAAAATATTATTAACTGAGGGTGAAAAATTTGTTTTATATTTTTCAGAAACTAACCAAGGTCAAGCTATTTTCGCAGTAGTCTCAAATTTAGGTTCATTAATAGTTAGATTTTTATTTTTGCCAATAGAAGAAACCTGTTTTTTAATGTTCCCAAAATTATTCAACTCTAATAATAATAATAATAATAATAATAATAATAATAATAATAATAATGGTAGCAGTAATAGCAATAATAATTATAAAGTAGGTGCAGGTGTTTTAATTGTAATGATGAAATTTTTAATATTGGTAGCATTGGTTTTCACATGTTTTGGTCCAGGGTTTTCAGATTTATTATTAAATTTATTATATAAAAACAAATTTAAAGATTCAAATGCAGGTGTATTATTGGGATTTTATTGCTTATACGTTGGATTTTTAGCAGTTAATGGGGTATCAGAAGCTTTTGTTCACAGTGTTGCAAAAGAAAGTCAATTAAAAATTGTAAATTTAGTTTTGGTTGTAATTGGTGTCATTTATTTATTATTTACATTACTTTTATGTAAATTATTCCAAAATATTGGTATTATTTTAGCAAATTGTCTAAGTAGGTATTATTTTATTTTAAATAATATTAATATTGGGTATTAATTTTTTTATTATTTGTTTTTATTTAGATATGTTATTAAGAATTATTTATAGTATATATTTTATGAAAATATTCTTTAAAGATTATAAAGACATAAAGTTATTTGATATGGTACCAAATAAACTAGTTTTAGTTTCATTCGTATTATCATTTATAATTACAAATTTATCAAACAAATATATCTATTCAGCAGACAGTATTAAATCATCATTGGTCCATATTGCAGTGGGTGTAGTTTGCTTAGCACAAACTTGTTTCTTTATTTATTTAAAGGAATGGAGTTCAATTAAAGAGTTTAAAAAAATTTTATCAAATAAAAACAAATAATAAAAATAAATAAAAGATATAATATTATATATTATATATTATATTTATTATACATTTAATGTATATTATTATTATTATAAAAAATATTATTTACAAAATTAACAAAAGATTTATTTAAAAATTTTTTTTTTTTTTTTTTTTTTTTATAGAGCTTGATAAATTTTTTTTTTAATAACTATAAGTCTTTATTTATAACTATAGTCCTTTTTTTTTTTTTTTTTTAAAGTTTAGTTAATCTTTTTAACTTGACCATGGTCCCAGACCCAGGAATGGTTATTTACTTTTGAAAGGTCAACAGAGTAGCAAACTTGGGTAGCAACTTTTGGTTTTGATTTTGGATCATTATTTGGTAAGCTTTTTTGTGAAAAATCACCTCCTGATTTTGTAAAAGTTTCACTTATAATTTCGGTGGTGGTTGTTGGACCATTCATAACTTCACTTAATGGTTTCTTTAATACTCTGGTGGTAGTTGTTTTGGTTTGACGAATAACAGTTCTTTTTGGGGCTTTCTTATTGACTTTTCCTAATCTTGCCTTGTTTCTATTTTTTTTGAGTGGTTTATTTGGGAGTTTGGATTTTTCTTGAGCAAGTGAGTTTTTACATCTGGCCATTTCTTTAAGTTCATCTTTGTCTTGGGCTGGGGTACGGTCAAATCCTTTCAAGTCTAATGGTGAAGAGAACCAGTCTTTGAGGCAGAGCATGTTAAAGTCGTCAAAATCTTGTTCTAATTGGTCAACACATTTTTCTTGTGGGCTCATGTGTGGTGGGAAGGAGAAATGGTCGAATGTTTCTTTTCTTTGTTCATGGTCTAGGTTTTTTTCTTCCCAAATCTTCTTTTCGATTAAGTCTAATTCTTTATCATCGTTTGCAGAAAGGTCGAGTTTATTTGGTCTGTCTAATTGTTTTCCTGGATATTCATTCAAGTTATCTTTTAATAGATTCTTAATTGAATAAAGGAAATAATCTTCGTCTAACTTTCTTTCTTGGAATCCTGGTTTCTTATATTCTTTGACATTTAAATCATTGGATTTTGCTGGAATACCAGCATACTCCCTAGCAGTCATTGTGTCCATTGTTAATTATTTTTATATTATTTATTAAAAAAATTCTTTTTAATATTATTTATTATTTATTTATTTAATTATTTGTTGTTGAATTTAATTTCGTTGTTATTGTTTGTTTGAATACTTTTGATTTTTTTTTTTTTTAATTATTTAAACGGAATTAAAAAAATTAAAAAAAAATTAAAAAATTAATTAATTAAAAAAAAAAAATAAAATATTTTATTTTTAGATTTAAATTTTTATTTCTTTAAAAAGTAATTTTTCCTTTTAGAGGTTTTTTTAATTATTTTTTATTTTTATTTTTAAATTGTTTTTTTAATTTAAATTTAAAAATTAAATTAAAAGATAATTATCATATGATTTAAATCAAAAATAGAATTTTATTTTTTTTTTTAATTATTTTTTTTTTTTTTGATCTTAAAATAAATAATTAAAAATATTTAATAAATTTTTTTATAAACATATACTATTTTCGATACATTTAGTTTTTTTTTGACCCTTATAATAACTTTGAATTAAATTTTAATTTTTAAAACAAAAGTTTTTTTTTTTTTAAAATTTTTTATTTATTTTTTTAATACATTAAATGAGATGTGATTATAACAGTAATTGAAATAATTAATTTAAAATTTCTTTTATTTTTCAAAGTTTATTTTTTTTTTTTAAAAAAAAATTTATAATATAATAAATATTATTAGTGTAAGCGATAGTATTTTATTTATATTATAATATAAGAAGTAGTAAGGGATGGGGTAAGGTTGAAAAAACCTATCTTCACACCAGATTGCATATAAGTTTGGCGCAGTATCAATTCTTAATTTATTTTTTTTAAAAATTCTTTTTTGATGAATTAAAATAATTGTTAATTATTATTAATTAATATTGATTATTATTGAGTAATGATCCTTGTTCATTACAGATTCTTTTTTTTTTTTTTTTTTTTTTTTTAAAAAAAATAAATGTAATGTAGGTACAAATCTATTAGTTATTTAAAGTAAATAATATTTATTAAAGTAATAAAACGATAATTATTTAAGTTATGAATAATGTGTATTTTCGAACTAAAACCGAAAAACTATTTTATTTTTATTTTTTTAAAATTTTTAAATTTTTAATTTTTGAAAAATTATTTTAAATATTTTTATAATTTTAATTATTTGATTTAAATTATAAAAAGTATTTAAACTTCGTTGATTAATGTGTTTGATATATAAAATGATTCTTATCTTGAATTATTAACTAAAATGATATATAATAAGCAGTGATTACATTACATATCCCCTTTCTTGACAAGATTCCCAAAATTAAATGAAATTTTTTTTTTTTTTTTTTTTTTTTTATGTTTGTGGAAGAGTTGATTATCGTGTTAAACTTGTTTATTAAGTCTCTTCTGGTGTGCTAAAAAATTATTCTCAACTGGAACTGTTTTTGCAAGCTCATCTTCAAATTGACGTACTAACATAGGACAATCTTCTAAGTAGTGCTGTGGAACCCATACATCGTTATCTTCACCAGCATTCTTGTAACGGATTAAATATTCGATTCTTGACCCTTTACCATATACTCTATTTCTCTTATTAACGATTGTGTCTATTTCTTCTACCACAGGGATTTGAGTTTTACGTCCTCTATCTACGAATAAGTTTCTATCTTCTTCAATGAATGGTTTAATATCATTGACATGAACTACTCTGACGCCATTAGCTCTATCCAACAATCTGATTTTGTAATTTAGTTGAGTTTTTCCTTCAATTACTCTAAATGGACCACAATATCTTGAAAGTAACTTATCTTTGTCTATTTCCAATTTAAATGTATCCAATTTACTTCTTTTCACCCATACCCAATCACCTACTTCATATTCAATATCCTCTTTGTCTTTATTGTATTGAATAGCCTGTTCAATCTGTGCATCAACCATATTATCTTGAGCAACCTGTCTAAATACCTGTAATCCTTCTGTATAACTGACATTATATACTGTATTAATATTTAATGGTACTCTTGCTTCGTAACCATAAACTACGCTCATTGGTGTTTTCTGTGTTGATGTGTTGACTGTACTATTAATTGCAAACTCGGTACTCTTAATTTCCCTATCCCAATTAACCATCTTTTGACCACTTTTTCTTAATATATCTAATAAGGTTCTGTTAACTCTTTCAGTTTGGCCGTCTGCTTGAGCTCTACCTGGTGCTGTGGTTTTTAATACCATTCCGGTTTCTTTAATTAATTCGCCCCATAATTCGGTTGTGAATAGTTTATCATTGTCGCAAACAATAGTGAGTGGTAATCCATATGAACAAACGATATTATCCCAAAACAACTTGCTTACTTGACTAGCGGTAATTGTCTTCTTACAAGGTATTAACTTGACCATTTTACTAAGTCTATCCACGACTACAAACAAATAATCATTACCATCTTGAGTTGTAGGTAATGAGAGAAAATCCATCGTAACATCATTCCAAGGTCTAGCAGGTATTGGTAACGGATTTAGTAAACCATGCTTCTCCCTTTCGATTCTAACCTTTTGACATTCTGGACAAGCGGCTACATAAGCTTTAACACGTTTCCAAAACTTGGGAAAATAAAAACTTGGTCTGATTCGTGCTGTGAGTCTGTATACTCCTGGATGACCTGCATAATTAGAAAGATGACCTTCGTCTAAAATTTTAGTAATTTGAGCTTTGTCCACTAAAACTAGTCTTCTTGAATCTGTTGTAGCATCAATTAAGTATAATAAACCATCTTTTTCCAACATATCATTTCTTAATTTTGCTGTCTCCAACCATTTCTTACTGTATTCATCCGCAACTTCATACGATTCCTTAACTTGATCTAAAAACCCATCGTCCCAATCATAATAAAATTTGGCGTTACGACTGAGAAAATCTGCTGCAATATTCTTCTTACCCTCGATGTGTACTAACTCGTAACTGAACATACTGATTAAGTCTAACCATCTAATTAACCTTTTAGGTGTCTCTTGTTTAGTTTGATAATGAGCTAAATTAAGATGATCCGAGTAAACTATAAATTTATTACCTAACAATAAATAATCAAATTTCTTCAACACATTGATTAACGCTAATAATTCTCTATCGGTAGTTGTATATGATTTCTGAAAACTATTAAATTTCTTCGAGTCGTACAATACTGGACGTTCATTATTATCACTGTCGAACTGAGTGATCATGCAACCGGTACCAACATCGCTTGCATCAATATAGACATGGAAAGTCTTCTTTGGATCTGGTTTGATCAACAATTTGGACGACGCTAAAGCCAACTTTAATTTCTCGATATCGTCTATAATCTTATCCGAAAGCTTTAACTTGGTATAATTCTTACCTGACGTAATGGATGTAAGACCTGCAGTAAGTTCTGTATAACTAGGAATAAACCGTCTATAATAATTACACAAACCTAAGAAGCTTCTAACTTCACCAATTGTAGCAGGAATAGGATACTCCTGAATGGCTGCTATCTTCGAATCTCTTACTTTAATACCTTCCGCACTAATAACATGACCTAAAAACTCTACTTCAATACAAAAGAATTGACACTTCTTACTGTTTAAATAGACCTTGCTATTTCTGCATCTTTCCAAAACCAATTTAATATGTTCCATATGTTCCTCTATCGTATCCGAATAAATAACAATGTCATCCACGTAAATAGCTAAAAACTTTTCAAACCCTTCCAAAACTGATTGAGCGAACTTATTAAAATACGCTGGAGAGTTCTTCAAACCAAATGGAGCTCTAGTGAATTGATACAATTTACCACCGGCTCTAAATGCTGTATGATGACGATCGTCTGGATGTAATAACAATTGATGGAACCCAGATTTCCAATCTAATTTAGAAATGTATTTAGCATTTCTCGTTTTATATAAAAGTTCATCCGCATTAGGCATTGGGTATTGAAATTCTACAGTTTGGTTGTTCTTTAACCTGTAGTCGAAAACTAATCTATCCCCCTTTGCTAAAAACGCTGATGTGCTATTGGCTGACGTACTCTCTTCGATAATCCCTCCATCCAATAACTCTTTTACTTTCTTGAAGATGTTATCTTCTTCTTGTTGTGACCTTTTACCGTAGTTAACTTTGACTGGCTGACTGTTCTCCTTGACCTTAATACGCATATCTAACCCTGGTCTGACTGGAGGTGTGAAATTTGGTAATGATTCCACCAAAACATCCTTGAACTTATTATTTATCCAATCCGTATATTCTTTAACTTTCGCATCCAGCTGTTCTTTGTTTAATTCATCCACTACTTTTGGGACCTCCTTGCTAGCTGCTACTTCACTAACTACTTTATCAGTTTTTTCAACATGATCACTTACTTTGTCGTTAACAACCGCACCTTTCATTACGGTTATCCTTAACGTCTTCATCGACATTAACATTCTACCATTCACCTGTAGATCTTTAAAACTACCACTGGCTACCACCTTCGAATGATTATCAACGACCTTCTTATCCTTTTCGAATAAGGTTAATTTAACTTTATGAGCTAATTTATTATTATCTGCATCCTTAAATATCTTGATAATGTGAGGATCTTCAATACGTAACGACTGTACCGAATCTACCAAAAAATCCAACCCGATTACCATATCATGTTCCATGTTAATTGCATAAAACTTCATATCGGTTGACATTTTTCCATCCAATGTTTTAAACTGAACAGTAGCCTCCACACTCTTCTTAGCAACGTCTTCTCTATAAACATCACCAATTGGATACCTGACCTTAATATCTTTTACAAAACTTTTTAACCCATAACAATACTTGTTGTTTAACAAACTGACGTTACAACCAGTATCTATCAATGCACGTAAATAATATTTACCTATACGCACACCCATTGCAAAACTTGTAGGCTTCTGCATACCTATCGGTACCAATATATTATTTGGCGAGATCTGGACAACTGTTTCTGACATGTCCCTCTTTCTTGCAGTAAAAGCATGTGAGCCTCCCCTTAACAAATGGTTTTCTAACCTTTTCTTCATCAGTTGGTTTATCTGATTTCTCTACAGTATTGTGTACTTTAACACTGTTAAATTCTTTGACCCTTGGTGTAACCTTCTGTTCTCTCTCCTTCTTATCTAAATAATTTTTGTAAGTTACCTCACCAATGTCCCTTAACACTTTGACCCATTCCTCAATCGATTTCGTATTACCCTTTGTAATTGTTTTATTATATTTATCAACAAATTGTGTTGTGATAAAATTAGGTAGGTCGACCTTGAGTTCAGCGATCCTTTGATGGTCGGTGTAGTTTTCCCAAACCATTCTATTCTCCAAGAACAAGCTGCAATAAGACCCTAGATTCTCTCCATAAATACTAATCTTTCCCTTGGCCTCCTTCAAACTCATTCTTAACTTATTTTCACGCTCTGCCTTGTTGTCGTGATCCTTCATATATCTGACGTAACCGTTCCATTCCATTTGACCTCCATTGTTAACAATATATTCTCTAGTGATATCTCTAAACTTGATACAACTTTCTTTATTATAAAATACTACTTGGGTTAGTTGTTCGAGTTTCTCTTCGATTTTGCTGTAGCCATAATTATTTAAATGGAACCAAGCACGTTCACCATATTTCTCGACTGTGCTGTTGCAAATGATATTACAAATATCATCAATGTCGTCGTTCTTCAGCTTCATACGGCTAATAGTCTTGTTGACTTGGTTTTCTACTACCACAACGTTTTCACTAACTTTTTGGTCCTCTCTAGACTTGCTTAGTTGGGTTACCCTGCTTTCTAGGCTTTTTATATCTCTTTCATTATCGATTATCACGTATTTTAACTCTGCATTTTCGTCACTTAATTCTGCGAGCTTCTTCTCACGTCTTTCTGAGTTCTTTTTGAGAACTGCAATTTCGCTTTCTAAATCAATACGGATAAATGTGTCTCTCTGACTCTTTTCCTTCTCTTCCTTACGCATTGCTTCAGATGTGGCTAAAAGAGATATTTTATCTTCGATTATACGTTTTAATTCAGCCAAATCCATTAAAAGTTTTTTGTTCTCCTCTTTTAAAGAGATATTTTCGCTAAGTACTCCATCAACGGTTCTGTTTGTTTTCATCATTTTTTATTATTATTGATTATTATTAAGTATTACTTATTACTTATTACTATTAATTGTTATTAATTATTACTATTATTATTATGTTAAAAAAAAATATTATTATAAACTATTATTGTTCTACTAAATTATCTATTCGTGATTCAACAATTTCTTTTTGTTTCGACCCGGGCCTCGATACAACTAGATAATATGTGTGGAAAAAAAAAAGTGTAATGTAGGTACAAATCTATTAGTTATTTAAAGTAAATAATATTTATTAAAGTAATAAAACGATAATTATTTAAGTTATGAATAATGTGTATTTTCGAACTAAAACCGAAAAACTATTTTATTTTTATTTTTTTAAAATTTTTAAATTTTTAATTTTTGAAAAATTATTTTAAATATTTTTATAATTTTAATTATTTGATTTAAATTATAAAAAGTATTTAAACTTCGTTGATTAATGTGTTTGATATATAAAATGATTCTTATCTTGAATTATTAACTAAAATGATATATAATAAGCAGTGATTACATTACATAAACACCCGGAAGATGTAAATATCTTAAAAATCGCCTAGACATGGGATCGAACCATGGACCTAGCGGTTAACAGCCGCTCGCTCTGCCTACTGAGCCATCCAGGCTTTTTTGATGAAAATCAATTTTTAGTCCGTATCGGCGGTTTTTTGTATTAATATAAGTCGTAATAACCTTTTCACCATTCTTATTGAAGGGGTAAGTCAAAAATTCGTGGTTGGTAATTAATACAAAAGGCAGTATTTTTTTATTTTAATAATACTCTGCCTACTGAGCCATCCAGGCTTTTTATGGCTTTTTAGTTGATGCAATTAATCAAGGAACTTATAATTTATTCTCTTAATTCTATCATTTCTGACTCAAAATATTCCACTTAAACATCACCAAAAACTTATTCCAATAGTTATTTGCTCCAATGTTTGGAATTGAGTTTAAAAAAACTGATCGTCTAACTTTTTTGTTCAAAACTAATGGGGTACTTCATTTTTAAAAAAATAATCCCAAAATTTTTTCATAGATTGTAATTAAGCTATAAAGATAGAGGTTCAGTAAGACATGGAGCTCAGATATCTTTAAAGTATGTATACCGGTATTATTACATAGATACTCCTGGCAAGTTTCAGAAGATAATATATGAGCTTCATATATAAAAATTAAACAACAAAATTAAATATTAATATTTAAAAACCAAAAAATTAAAATTAAATCTATAAAATTGTTGTTAACTATTCCCCTTTGAATAAAGGATAAGATAAAAACCAGTAGTTAAAAGAAGTCAAAAGCATTAATCAGATATTTAAGAAACTTCAACACATGATATCATTTTTGTCAGTATCACTATGCAACCAAGATATTTTTCAGTAAACACGAGCCTCAGAAATTTTCAGGATGCTCTGTGAAAGCTAAATAAAATAAGTTCTTGTGAAAAATAATTATATATAGTTTTAGTATTTTATAATATTTTATTTATAAATATTTCTAGGTGCATTAGTTTTTTTGGTAATTGCAGAAACTGTTAACAGTGTTTTGGTGATGGTGGACATGGGGTACAGTGTTTTGGTGGTGGTGATGGTGGACATGGTCTGAAATTTGGTTGTTTACATTTTGGTGAATTGTGTACTTTGTGAGCAACACTGTTGCCACCGAATGAAGCACTGGAGCTACTTGAAGCAACACTTGATTTCATTGATGAACCGGAGCTACCTAAGACTGTGATTGAATCTTTTTTTTATTTTTTGTTATATATTAGAAACAAGTTTAATTTTTTTTATTAATATAACTATACTTACTGAAAAGTGTCATTTTAATAAATAAATTGAATGTTTTTTTTTGTTTTGAAATGATTTAAAAAATTTATTTTTAAAACTATTTAAAATTTTTTTAAAAAAAAAAAGAAAATTAAATTAAATTAAAAATATAAAATTAATTATTAAAATTAATTTTTATAAAAAGTTAGAGTGTTGGGTTAAAAACAATCTAATAATTTTTTATAGCGATATTTTTATTTTAATAAATTTTAAAACATATATGACATATATGATGTTATTAATATTTTAGTTTTGATAAAAAAGGTATTGGGGAGTTTATTTTAAAACCAAACAAATTGTGTAAATAATAATTACCTTAAATGATTAATATTCAAACTATAAATAAACTTTGAGATAACAACGTATAGTCTTTCATTTTTTAAAAATAATATAATACTAATTGAACTGAAGTTTTTTTTAGTAAATTTATTCATATTGAAAAAAATAAAAATAAATAAAGTGTCCCTTTATTTTGGGTAGTAATCAGGATTATAATGGATATATAGTTTTATAGTATGTGGTCTTTAAAAAAAAATAAAATAAAAAAAAAAAACAATATTTCTTTAGAAATTTTTAAAAAAAAATATTTGTAAAAATATTTTAGTTTATATAAGTTAATTTATTTATAATTTAACAATGTTTTGGTGGTGGTGGGCATGGGGTACAGTGTTTTGGTGGTGGTGGTGGTGGACTTGGTCTTAAACATGGGAAACTGTTTGGTACATAGTTTGTTTTATGATGAGTTACACTATTGTCACCGAATGAAGCACCGGAGCTACTTGAAGCAACACTTGATTTCATTGATGAACCGGAGCTACCTAAGACTGTGATTGAATCTTTTTTTTTTAACATAAAAAAATAAAATATTTTAAATTAGAAATATTATTTTTTAGAAAATATTTTTTAATATAAAAAATTAACTTACTGAAAAGTGTCATTTTAATAAATAAGTTTAATTGATAATGTTTTATGTTTTGAAATGATAAAATAGTTAATTTTTAAAACTATTTATACATAATTTTCATTTTGATAAAAAAAAAAAAAAAAAAAATTAAAATTAAAAAAAATCAATTATTGGGTGGGTGGGGGTAAAAACAATTTTTTTATTTGTTATAGTAATAATAAAATATTGACATTTATGATGTAATGAAAATGTAATTTTGTAAAAATATGTTTAAGGAAATTTTTTATTAATAAAATAATCATACATTGAATTATCTGTCCAAATATTACCTTCACTATCCTTATATTTAGTTAATAGATCATTCAATTAAAAGTTTTATCATTATTTTGAAATTGTAAAATATACAATCATTTGTTTATAATTACAAATTTTTAACTTTTTTTTTGAAAAAATAGAAATGGGGTGAAAATACAAAAAATGATTTTGGTGGCATTTTTGAAAATATTTGTTTATAAAAAAAAATTAAAAAATTAAAATAAATATTTTTTTTATAGAAATTAAGTTTTTTAAAATATAAAAATAGTTTAGATTTTTATTTAAATAATTTAGATTATAATTAATTATTTATTTAACAGTGTTTTGGTGGTGGTGGGCATGGAGCACAAACTTTTGGTGGTGGTGGTGGTGGACATGGTCTGAAACTTGGTTGGTAACAGTTTGGTACATAGTGTACTTTATTGTGAGCAACGCTGTTGTCACCGAATGAAGCACTGGAGCTACTTGAAGCAACACTTGATTTCATTGATGAACCGGAGCTACCTAAAACTGTGATTGAATCTTTATAAAAAATTTTTTAATTGTTAATTTCTAAAGTTTTTTATATAAAACTATTAAAATTTTTTTTTAATACTTTACTGAAAAGAGTCATTTTAATTATTTAATTGATTGAATATTTTGTTTTGAAATGATAAAAGAAATAATTAATAAAACTATTTATACTTTTTTTTTATAAAAAAAAAAAAATTAAAAAAAATAATAATTAAAAAAAATTTTACACAGATTGGACATGGGGGTTAAATAATCTATTAATTTTTTTATAGTAATTTTTTAAATATTAAACATTAATGGTGTAATACAGTTTAAAAAAAGGTATTGGGAACATAAATTAGATTATCTAAACAATGATAAATAATCTTTGAAGCTTTTTGGATAGTTTTCCCCTATCTTTATCTTTAAGTTTAAAGATGGTTTCGCTATTAATCATTTATATCCTTTTTTAAAATTTTTGAATAAATAAAATAATGACTAGTTTTCAAATAAAATTAGGGTTTAATCAAAATAAAAAATCATGAAATAAAAAAATTAACTTTATACATATAATTTGAAAAATAGGTTTAAATTTTATTTAAATTTTAACATGTGGTTTATAAATAATAATTTATTTAACAGTGTTTTGGTGGTGGTGGGCATGGAGCACAAACTTTTGGTGGTGGTGGTGGTGGACATGGTCTGAAACTTGGTTGGTAACAGTTTGGTACATAGTGTACTTTATTGTGAGCAACGCTGTTGTCACCGAATGAAGCACTGGAGCTACTTGAAGCAACACTTGATTTCATTGATGAACCGGAGCTACCTAAGAGTGTAATAGAGTCTTTAAAATAGTTTTTTTAAAAATTATAATTTGTTAATACATTATTAACTATAGCTTTTTAAATTTTAATACATACTGAAAAGAGTCATTTTTAATATTATTTAATTTGTTTTTAATTGATGTTTGAATGAAAATAAAAAAAAATTCAAGAATTATTTATAGTTTTTTTTTTAAATTTTTAAAAAATATTTTAAAATTTAAAAAAAATAAATTTATTTAAAGAATTAAAGATAATAGACGAAGGATTAAAAATTATTTGTTTCTTTTTATTAACCAAATTATAAAAATAATTTATAGATCAAAAATAATTGGATATTTTAAAAACCATCTTTAAAAAATTTTATAAGAAAAAAAAAATTTACGTGGTGTTATTATTTTAATTTTTATAATCTATAAGATTATTCAATCAAAAATCAATGGCTCCATATATAGCTTGTGATTCTTTTTATATTTAAATTTTTTATCCTCAATAAAATTTTTTTTATTTAACAGTAAAATAAAATTATCAGATAATTTTTATTTATTACCCATAAAACAACGGTCAACAACTAAAAACACATTATTTTACTAAAGAATGGGCAAGCAAAAATTGGTTTATTATCATTTATTAATAATTAAAAACTAAAAGATAAATATTTATTTAGAAAATTTTACTATTTTATTAATATTTTTATAATTTTTATTTAAGTTAATCAATTATCTATACAATTACTTTTTCCCTTTGTGGCAAACAATTATTTAATTTCTTTTAAGAAATAACCAATGGCCAAGTTTATATTACGATATTTTATCATTACTAGTAGTTTTACATTAAAGTTCTATAAGAAACTATTAAACTTCACCCATTCAATACATTGGTTATCTCTTTCCCGTTTTATTCGATGTTTTATTTTAATCTCTTCCTTTGTTCATTAGGATGGGGCACAACCACTCTATGGTATGGTGATATTTGCTATTCCTTTAGTTTTCCATGGATATGGTCCTTTTTCTTCTGAAGCAAACTGACTTTGGTTCAATTTCCATTTTTTATTTCCTTTTCTTTAAATTTGGTCCTCATTACTTTGGTCTTTAAAAATTTTTCAAACCAAATATGACAATCAATTAATAGTTATAATAATGGTTAAAGCTATAATAACAATCTTCCACAAACACCAAACCTCTATCCATTTATTTGACCATTTTATTTTATTTTTTTTTTTATTGAGCATGTTATAAAATTTTGAATTTTTTTTTGAAAATGTAAATTCGAAAATTTTTAAAATTTTTTTTTTTTGAAAATGCTCGAAATCTAATTTTATAAAAATGATTGCATCACAATCCTTTCTTCAATTTCAAAAACTAAACATAAATACCAAAGAAAAGACAAAAAAAAATTCACTCTCCCGATTTTTTTATTTAAGTAATTTTTTAAAAAAAGTTTCATTATTATTTTTTTAAAATCACAAAAACACAAATAAAAACATGGATAATATGGATAATAATTTGGATATTAAAAATAATACTGACAATGAAAATATAGATAATAATAATAGTATAAATAATAATTATATAAATAACAGTATGATTAATAAAAATAATAATAAAGTGAATAGTAATAATATGAATAATAATATGAATAATAATATGAATAATATAAATAGTAATAACAACAATTTAAATAATATGAATAACCATATGAATAATTTCAATAATAACAATAACTTTCATATGAATAATAATAGTATGAATATAAATAATAATAACAATCATATGAATTATAATATGAATTATAATAACAATAAAAATAATATGAATAAAAACAACAATCAAATGAATAATTCACAATATAATAAATCACAATCAAATAATATGAATTATATGAATTATAATAATATGAATATGAATAATAATATCAATAATATGAATAATTTTAATCAGATGGGCAATTCACAATATATTAACTCACAACCAAACAATATGAGTTGTATGAATTGTATGAATTGTAATAACATCAACCAAATGAATAGTTTTCAATATAATAAAATGAATAATAATAACTATAATTATAATTATTTAAAAAACTGTATTATTGATTTTAAAAATAGTTATTTAGGAGTTTTGGTTTTTTTCTCAATATTTATAATAATCCTCAAAATTTCAAGTCTAAGAAGTAAACTATTTATTATATTTATAATTAATTTTAAAAAAATTTGCTAACAATATCTTAAAATATAGATGTATGGGCTTTGTATTATTGTGAATTAGTTAAAATAAGGGATGTTTATTTCATACCAACTTTTCCATCAGACGGAGCTTTGACTTTAATTGTTTTTACAATTATTTTTTCATGTTTATATTTAGCTATAATTTTATTATTAATCTTTAAAAAGTTTCCAAAGTCAATATCGCTCTATTCAATTATAATTCCACCTATTTTGAGCTTCATATTTGAAATTATTGTACTATATATTGGCCTTTTCGTTGAACAAGCAAAAGGTTCAATGTGCACAAATATTTATTTTGCAAGTGGAAGAATGGATTCCAGAATTTGGAGCGGAACTCTTTTATTTATAGCAAGTATTGTTTTAAATGTTTCACTTATTATTTTAAGTGCTAGAGTTTTTAAAAGCTATCAACAACCAAAAAATAATAATGCACTTACATTTGGAAATAGTATGTTTAACAACAAAGACAACAATAATGTTAGTATAATTCAAAAAAATAGCTTTTTAATTATTACTATCTTTTCAACTTCTATCATTCTAATGAAGTTTATAAGCTGTTTAGGTAAATATTTAAATATTCCTTATTTTACAACAATTTAAATAAATTATACTAATCACATTTATTTAGTTGGGTGGTCAAGATTGAGAATGTACAAAACTTCTCTAACTGTTATAACCAAACCATCTTGTATCACTTTAGCTTTAATAGTTTTTAGTTTTTTATTTACAATAGTTTTTTATATTGGTGTTTACTTTAAACTTAAAAAAAAATTACCAAGCTTTATCCCACCCATTAAAATTATAGACTCTATTCCACACAATGCTGCTGTAGTCCCCATCCTTCTTAGCACAGTAATTGATGTTATTGTTTCTGTTTTATCCTTTATATACAATTTAGGAGAATATGAAGCTTATTACCATCCTTTGTTTAACTTTACATCTGGAGTTTACTATTCTATTAATCAAACAAAAATTTTATTCGGCCCTATTCCATTTTTTATTGCCATGCTTCTAAATATAATCCTCATTATTTTAGGTCACGATCTTTTTATGCAACCAAAACCAATAGAAAACAATCAAAATGATCCACATTTAAACAATTTTAATAATGGCAATAATGATAATAACGACTACTTTAATATGGATAATATTAACGAAAGCAATGTTTTTAACAATAACAATAACCAAAATACTATTCCACACAACCCAACTAATTATAACAATATCAACTATATAAATAACAATAATATGAATACTGAAAATTCTATTCCACAAGCTCCAATGGTTAATCTAGCAAACGCACAAAACCATTTAAAGGAAAATAACAATAATATTATCATTCACACTGAACAATCGATTAATGATGAAAACAATAACAATAATAACACATCAGATCCCAAAGAAATAGAAAACATTGATTCCAACACACCACTTCTTAAAGATATATAGACTTAAAAAAATTAAATAAATCTTTTTAATTTTCGAAATACAACCCTTTAATATAAGTTTATTTTTATTGTGTATGTCATATTGTATTTTGGATCAATTCTATTTGTTTAGACTGATGATTAAATAGCTTTAATAATATTGGCATTAGTGTGTTGATGCGATTTTTATAGAATTTTGATAGTAGCTCAATGTGGATTTCTTTGTTGCTGGTTCTTTCTTGATAAAGCTCTTTGTAGTATTTTGCTCCTATGTTAGCCATGTCTACATCAGTATTTATCTGTTCATTTTCTGAATTTTTAAGTGAGTCAATTCTTGCTGTAGACTCCCTTGATTTGAGTTTAGCTGTTGTATATTAATTTGGTTTGTCGCTATTATCTCAATAATTAGTTGAGCTTTTATATATTATCCTCTAGTTGTTGGTCTAATATCTCTTTGAATTGTGCTTTAATTTTTAGCTTCTCCTCTTCGTCTGCATATTTGCATCTGTCTGTTAGCTCTTTCTTTGCTTCTTCTCTTGTCTTTATGATTTCTATTTGTTTACTCTTATAATGTTTTTTTATTTTGTTGATAGAACATAATCAACAAAATAAAAAAACCATTACAAGAGTAAAGAAATAGAAATCATAAAGACAAGAGAATCGACGATTATTTCGTCTATTTCATCTATTGTGATTAGGTCTTTTGTTGTTAATAGATTGAATTTCCATAGTGTGATTTTTTTTGGTTGGTAATTTGTTGTTATTTCAGCATTGTCTACACTGGCATCAAATATACCTTGAATTTCGTCTTGACGTAGATAAAGAGATTTGCCCATTGTTAATAATTCCTTTCAAGACGAACAATCTTTTCACTAAATTTCTGAAATGATGAGTAACCTTCTATGTCCGAAATATCTACTATTAATAATTGTCGATATTTATGTTTATATTTTTATTTTTGTTGTTATTTTTTTAAAGTATTAATATTTGATTTTGATTTTGAAATGTTTTTGGAATTATAAAAAAAAAAAAAAAAAAACCGAAATCGAGTTTAATTTTTAAAAAAATTTTTTATAATATTTTTATTTAAACTGAAAGAAATAAAAGTATTAATTAAGTTCATAAAAATAACATTAAAATAAAATAAAAATTTTGATTAGGTTACTGTGCTCAAAGTAATGGTGGTAAAATCCCAGGTAAATGCCCATTTAGTTTTCGAAACTTAATTAAACGAGCTTTTTTTATTTATTATTTTTTTAATATTTTTTTATAATTTTTTTTTTTGACCAAAAAATTAAGAAAAATTTGGGAGATTACCACGCAAAATTTTATTAATTTTTTTTATTTATTTTATCTTTATTTCAAATATGCAAATTAACAACAAAACAATACCACCTATTAATAGAGAAAAATAAAATATAAAATTTAAAAAATTAATATTAAAATAAATATAAAAATTAAATTCAATATAAATTAGAAACATAAAATAATATTTTAAATAATAATTTATAATAATATATAATAATATAATAATATAATAATAATAATAATAATAATATAATAATAAATTAAAAAAATGTTTAAAGCAATTTATGATTTCTTTTTTAACTATTTTAAACTATTTACTGGTAGAGATAGCAGACTTTTAATGCTTGGTTTAGATGGTGCTGGTAAAACTACTCTTTTATATAGATTAAAGATTGGAGAAGAAATATCTACAGTCCCAACAATTGGCTTTAATGTTGAAAGTATAAAATATAAAAATGTAATGATGACCGTTTGGGATATTGGAGGTCAAACTAAAATTCGTGATCTTTGGAAACATTATTTTTATAATACCAATGGATTGGTCTTTCTAATTGATTCAAATGACCGTGAAAGATTAGGAGAAGTAAAGGAAACAATGGATTATTTAAGAACCCACGAAGAGTTAAAAAAAGTTCCATTTTTAATAATGGCAAATAAACAAGACATTAAAGGTTGTTTATCTTTAGAAGAAATAATAGAGGCATTAGAATTACAAAATTGCAAAGAAAGAAAATGGTATGTTCAAAAGTTATGTGCTATAAATGGAGAAGGTGCTTACGAAGGTTTAGAGTGGTTATCAAAGAATATGTGATTAGAAAAACTAATAAATAAAGTAAATTTGTAAATAATAATAAAAAGATGATTGAATTGTTTTTTTTTTTTTTTTTTTGTTTTAATTTATAATGATTCAGGGAATAATTCTTTAAAAAATTTTGGAATTTCGTTTATAATATCTTGAGTAATAGTTAAAAGTCTATTATTTTCGAAGGCTTTATTGGCATACTATTTTATGAAATGAATGAACTTGGTTTCCATATGTAGTTATATCTTTTTTTCCTTTTTGTACAATTGTTATATTACCAAGTCTAATGGGTTTGTGAAAATATTTTCTTACAAATTTAAATTTTTTTTTTTTTTAGAAATAGAGTTTTATAATAATTACTGTGTTGTAACTTTTTCTGTTTTTAATAAATTATTAGATGTATCACCCATCATTTTTTTGACAATATCTGATAAATTTTTAAATTCAACAAAATTTGGGTTAGTACATTACTCTATCATAGCCTTAGCTAATATTATTATAACTATAATTTGATTTTAATTTATAGATTGAATCTTTGGAGCTTTAAAATTTAAATTATAATCATTTAAAATAAGATTTGATTCCCAAAAGAATTTTTTTTAATTTTTTTTGTATTAATTGCTAACCACGAATTTTTGACTTAAAAATGGTACAAAGGTTAACAAGACTTTTATTAATTTATTTTTAATAGAATTTTTAGTTATTTAATTTTGATTTTTTAATTTTTGTTTTTTTAAAATTTTTTACATCAAAAATTTTGAAAATTTTGAAAATTTCAAAAATGGCTGCTTAGTTTAGTGGCATAATACTTGTCTTGTAAACAAGGGGTCCTGAGTTCGATTCTCAGAGCAGCCATACCTTTTTTTATTTTTTTTGCAATTTTTGCAATTTTTGCAATTTTTACAAATCCTCGATTTTAGTTCAGATGAAGGTTTGGGAATTTCTAGGACCAACAAGGGCCAAAAAGCCATCATCACACACACTTTTTTTCTTGTAAAAAAAAAAATAACACAAATCACTTTAAAAAAAAATTAAATTATTTTTTTTTATTTATAATGATATAATTTGTATATATTTTATTAAGAATAACTTTAGATATAGTAAATGGAAAAATACCAAAGCCCAAAAAAAAGGAATTGTATAACCAAAAATATATAAAAAAACCCTCATATATCGCAATAATAAATAATAATTAAAAAAAAAAAAAAAAAAATAAAAAAAAAAAAAAATTTTTAAAAAAAAAAAAATTTCAAAAAGGAACATTTTTTTAATTTCAAAACACACTTTACAATAAATTATATAACAGATAAAAAAATAATTATTAATTATTATTAATTGTTTTTATATTTAATTTTTTTTTTTTTTTTTTTTTTAAATTATTAAAATATGGAAAAATCATTCAAAAGAATTAATACAATTGGAAATCATATTGTTGGTAGTTTTCAAACAGTAGGCAGTAATAGTAATAGTGCAATTACAGCAGTATCAAGTGGTAGTAGAATGTATAGTAAACATCAACAAGATAAATCCAAAGATTTTTTCAAACCAAGTGAATCTGATCTACAAAAACTTTACAAATATCAAGAATCACAAGAGAAATTAAATAGTGTTGAACCATTTCATTTAACTAAAGTTGAAAATAAAACTTTAGTTCTCACTTTAAACAGACCCAAATCATTAAATGTTTTAAACACACATTTATTTGTAAATTTAAATAAAAAATTCCAATACTTTAGAGATGATCCAAAATTATCATTAATGATTATCAAAGGTAATGGCAGAGCATATTGCGCTGGTGGTGATATTAAAGGTAAGCAAATTACAGCTATGGGAAGTTTTTTTTTTAGTATAAAAACTAATTTTTTTATTTTTTTTATTTTTTAGAATTATCAATTCAAACCAGAGATATTGGATTATTATTCCCAAGATATTTCTTTAGTAAAGAATATAATTTAGATTATACAGCAGCAACAGTTAATAAACCAAGAGTTGCATTTTGGGATGGTATTGCTATGGGTGGTGGTTTAGGTATCTCAGTTCATTCTCCATATAGAATTGTTACTGAAAAAACAGTTTGGGCTATGCCAGAAGTTTGTAAATATTTTTTGTAATAATAACAATAATAATGTCAATATTTACTAATTATTTTTTCTTTTTTTTTAGCCATTGGATTATTCCCAGATGTTGGAGCAAGTTATTTTTTAAGTAGATTAAAAAAAGATGCAATTGCCAATTATATTGCAATTACAGGTAAACAATTAACAGGTGCAGATTGTGTTGAGTTTGGTATTGCAACTCATTTTGTTAAATCTGAAAAATTACCAGAATTAGAAAAGAAATTAATTGCATTGGTTCACAGTCAAGATGTTAATGTTATCGAGTCAGTTATTAATGAATTTGCAAGTCCACCACCACCATCACCATTATTACAAGATTGGTCACTCATTAGTCAATGCTTCTCTAATCGTTTCAATTCGATCGACGAAATTATGCAAGCACTCATTGATTCAAAATCACAATGGGGTAAAGATATCTACGATCTTATTAGAAAGAAATCACCAACCAGTGTCAAGATTGCTTTTAGACAAATTAAAGAAGGTGCAGCAAAATCATTAGAGGAATGTTTCTTTATGGAATTTAGATTAGCCATTCGTAGTCTTTCAAATAACGAATTTATTGAAGGTGTTAGATCAGTAGTTATCGATAAAGATCAAAAACCAAAATGGGATCCACCAACATTAGAAGAAACATCTGATGAATATATTAATCATTATTTCTCAAAATTACCAAAAGATCAAGAATTCCCAATTGGTGATGATAAAATTTATATGCCATAAAAAAAATAAAAAAATAAACAAATAAATTATTATAAAAATAAATAAAATAGAAATAAAGTTTTTAAAATTAAAATATATATAAATATTTTTATTTTATTTTATTTATTTACTAAAGTTTTTAAATATATTATTAAATATTTCTTTTACATTATTTGATTTGAAAAAATTTGATTTGAAGAAATGAATTAGTTGAACTTTGAAAATAGCTTTATCATTTTTGAAATTTTTAAGTTTTAAAGTTTTAGATTTATAACCAAATTGAAAATGAACCATTTCCAAATTTGGTATATCTAAAATCATTTTACTAATTGATTCTAAAAAATAATCCAATGAGTCTTTATCCAATTTATAGTTATAAAATAAGCATTCCATATAAAATAATATAGTTAAATTTTTTAAATTTGTTTGATTTTTTAAAGAGTTGCAAAATTCTTCCCAATAATTATTAAAAATTAATTTTTTATTTATATCTAATGAATTTGTTGATAAAAATAAATCACTACAATCACATTTTTCTATATAGCTATTATTATTATTGTCGTCGTTGTTGTTACTATTATTGTTTATTTCTGTATTTTCTATATTATTATTATTATTATTACCATCATAAAGAGGGCTAGATAAAAAATCTAGTAATAAATTAAAACAAATTTGAAATGAAAATATTTCTATTTTTGGACATGATTTTAAAAGTAAATTAATATTTTTAAATTTTAATTTGGTAAATTTAAATTCTAAATCTTTTAAATTTAAAAGATAGTTTTTACCATCACCAAAAAATTTTGGATTATAATTATTATTGTTATTATTGTTGTTATTAATATTACTATTATTTATTTTTAGAGTATTATTTCCACTTAATGATTTAATTGGGAATTTATTGTCACTATCATGACCATATATAATAGTTTTACAAGTATTATTCCATAGTTGTAATGCCTTGCCCAAAACTGCTTTATTTTTGCAATCATGGATAACAAAACATTTGATATCTTTGCAAATTGAATAAAATTTTTGTATATTGGTTACAGTACATTGTCTACCTATCATTATTTGATAGCAGGTAAATTCAATGCTTTTCCTGTTGATTCCTTGCTTTAGTTGCTTTATTGTGGAAAAGAGTGTTAACATTTCATCAGGGTTTCCTTGAAGATTATAATTTCTAATTATAACTCTTTCAAGATTGGAAAATAGATGAGCTCTACCCAATAACTTTGATTTTAATGATTCTCTATCTCTAAAAGTATAGTACAGTTTTAATATTTTGATATTTGATCTTATA